AATTACATTCACACGTTCGTCGTCGAACATTGCACGTACACGTACGAGTTGGTCCTTCGATTTGCGTCTACGTTTCAGCTCCGTTGGTTTCATTGATCGCGTCAAGGTAAACCTATTTTAACGAAGGTCGAATCGCTTCTAGGAGATCTTGGCGAAAGGCTGCCGTGCTCATTCTATTTGAATTTTTTCTCTCTTTTTTATCAGCGGTCGTGATTAATCGATCACGATCCGAACGTGACTCGATCGAATCGAACGCGGCCTGGATCTCTCCTTCGATTCGCGTTCGATTCGGCCACGGTGTTACTTTTCGCGCGAGAATCATCGTCCCACCGTCGAATGCCTCGCCCCGACCTCGAATGAAACGCTGAAAAATCTCGATTTTCTACGGCGAACGCGCGGAATCCACGAGCTTCTTCAGCCAAGAGAGAGCGAACGTCTACTCGCCAATACCTCGAGGAATGCCGGTTGACTGTAACTCGAGCGATTATTGCTTCCCGTACCGTTAACGAAGCCTCGTTACAAGCGAACTTTGTAAATACCTGAAGGAAGGAAGAGGCGACGAGCGGTTTTTCGAACAACGAACGCGCCATGAGGCTCGCTGGAATGCCTCTCTGTTAAATCATTGTAATCCAGATGGTAGTACAGTTCCATTCGCGACCAAGTTTCTCGAATTTTTCTTCCATTTCTCTCGAGTTTCTTTTTATATTTCTTTCCCATTTTCTTACAAGAATCGTGCAACAAGGATCTGCCCAAGGGTGTACAAATTTAAGATGCTTCGCAAATTTAAGATTGTTCAAAGATTAGAAATCCACGTGTGCATGCATGTAGAAGATTTATTAAGAGAAATTTTAGTTAGTGTTCAATTAACTCATTTGCGTCACGATTTACAGCCACGAGCGGAATATCTCGCGATATAATAACTTTCGTATAATGCCATAAACGAGTTAGCCACGCGTTATCCGTTATGAATGTTTCAACTGAAGAAAAATCAATGCACGAAACTTCACAGTGAATGTCGAATGAAAGAAACGATTTTGCTTATTTTCGTTGTAGAAAAAAAAAAATTATTTGACCAGTCACGCGCGTCTTGTGAAAAGAAAATATATAAATAAAGAACTGTTGTAATGAAATAAAATTTGTGTATAAAAGAATGGATAAAGAAACTAGTTATTTGAATGAGTAACACCGTATGAAACAACATTAAATACAAGTAAGAAATTTTAAATTTCAATCACGTGGACGTTTATAAATTTTCAATTCAATTTTAGAAGATTTAATTTCTGAGAAATTTCCAACATCTCACGTTATAATTAATTAATTCTTTACAGCCCAGTTCTTTATGCCCCGATGTTCTGAAATAAACGTAAACACTCATGTTTCGAATAAACGTTAATCCCTTTGAACCCCAGGTGTCACGCGAGAGTTCAGAGATTTTTCACTCAAGAAGTATCGTCCGGTATCTATCCAAATTTACTTGTCATCTCACTCTGAAAATTATCGTAGATCTAACTACCGACAAGATCAATAAACCAACAGAGATCTCATCAAGACCAGAGCTCATCGCTCGAATCATCGGGGGAAAGAGAAAAAAAAAGGCGCACGATAGCGAGAGGAACGCGAACCATTTCACAACTTCCTGACAAAAGGCTGAAGTAAACCAGATGATGAACGAAAGAGAAAGAGAGAGAGAATGAGGGGAAAGAGTATGAGGTCGAGGCGACGGTGAATCGTTGTCAGCGGGCGGAAGCCGCCGGGTACGCGCTAGAATAACGAAAGCTAATTATGCGTTCCACTCGAAAAAGGGAGGGGAATCGGGGCAAAAAGCGTCGATAATCGACATCCTGCCGCAGTCGGTCCCGTCGGTCAACTACGCTACCGGCAAACCGGCGTAAATTTAGTCCCCGGGCCCTGGTCCGAACGTTACCACCGAACGTCGCGACCGACAAGTCCCCCTGAGCAAACAAGAAGATCAGCCGCGGAGGCTTTCGCCGATGTAAAAACGAAATCCGTGGACGATGCTTCGACGATCACGGTATGCAGCCGCCCTGGACTGTAGTCTTGGAAGCGGAAAGCCGGAGGAGGCCGCCGACGAAATCCGGCCCCGATACCTTTCGATTCCAAAGCTGGAGCAAACACCCTTTTCTTCTTCAAACGTTCGAGGAATCTTAAGAGCCATGTGCGAGGAGGACGTACGTCGCGAGGTGTGCTTCTCTTTTTTCTCCGGGCCAGATCAGGCTTCGAGTCCAGCGGTTTCTGGCACGTCCAGTGCTTTCTATGATATTATTTTTTCCACGTTTTTTTTTCTTTTTTCAGATTCATCAAGTCCATAATGTTGTCGCAAAACAATATATGCAACGCGATATTTCTTTTCTTGTTTCACTCTCGTCTTATTGCCATTTTCATATACCGTTTCAGAGAACGAAATCATCCTTTCACAAAATTTTCAGATTCTGTACCGTTAGAATTCCTTTCTGTCGATGAAATTTTTTGTTTTTAGACGCTTACATATGACTGTCAGAATTTATGGCTTTCTGCTGCTCTTACGTTGTTAGTCAATCAGAAACTTCTTCAAATTTGAATTTCGTGGCAATGGATTCCAATTTTAAAACTATCATCTAAGGAATGATAAATTACTTCTATTGTGAATCCAAGACCAGAACGTGCAGCAATAACATATATAGTAATTAGATAATCAACTACAATGACTTTTGAGAAAAGTAACCGATTAATCTCAGAATGGCAATTGTTTACGACAAATACTCGATCAGAAAGTGAATGTTAGCTTTTGACAGAATTAGGTTCTTATCAATAATTTGAATAGATACTATCCACAGAAATACTTCGAAACCAAGAAAAATGTCCAAAAATTCTCGTCTATGAATTCTAACGACAAGTTTGTAAAAAATTATCACGGAAGATTTTCTAAGGGAAATAATTAAAAAAATGTTCTGTTTAACTGCGATTTTATTCGTTCTAATTGCATTGAACTACCAAACGTGCAGCAATTCTGTCTGCCCCTCCAAAGATGTATCATTATAGATTAAAAAATTAATAAGGTACTCTATTTTATCTTACATTCTCTACATTCTCCACGAATCAGAGAATCAGACGGAACCTCGACACGAGAGGAAACAAGAAGGCATCCTGTACAACTATCCAACTAGTGAAGAAAGAAACCCGCGACAAAGTGGAAACCGAGGTAATCAATTCGACATTCGTAGAATGTCGAAGAATTAAGAAGCAGCACGATGTGAACTACCGATTCAGCGCTGGTTCGACAGGGCGACGAGAAACGAAGGAAAGAAAGCGGGAGGGAGGGAAAAAGGCGGGAGAACAATCAACGAGACGAGAGCGGCAGGGAAATATCGATGCGGCCCTCGTTTCTCGAAACGAGGTTGCGGCAAGAGGCCGAACAGAACCGGCGAATCGTTGCACCGCCAGCGCCCCGTTTTTGCTCGATTTCTCAAAACCGATCGAGCGTTCCCGATCAACAGGGAGCAACACGCGTAGCTTGCACGCCAGGCGTGACCGTCGGGCTACCGCGATACACCATGAAAAACCGTAGCCGCCCGCCATGCTCAGTCGCTCACGTCTATTTACATTGGCACCGTTGCGGGGAACGATCGAACCCGCTCGAACGTGCTTTCCACGTCGACGATCCACGAAAAATCTTCCACTACGAATTTTTCCGACTGCGATGAAACCGATGGCACGTTTTGCCACGATTTTACGAATTTAACGCAACGTTTCGCCAGCCCCATTGTTATATTCTTCAGCAGCTTCAAGCAGCTTGACGGTAGAATTGCACGAAGTATCGTAGAGCATATTATAATCAATGATTCATTTTACACTTCGTTACATGTATATCATTCAAGCTTTTATTACAACCACGTAAATTTCAATGCAGAGACACGTTTTCAAAT